TCTTAGTATAAACATTTTATTATTGTACAATTATATAATACATTCTTTGTAAGATCAAGAACTGAAAGGGTGTTGAGACACTTACTTTATGAACTATCAAGTAATATCTGATACTGTTATGTGGGCCTGGTATCTTGCAATATTTGTATTTTGTTTCATATTGAAAGAGTTGTTTAATTTATGGTTTTACCTAAAGGGTTTCATTTCTGTGTGTGTGTTTCAATGTTGTAAAAGGTTTTGTTTAGTATGTTTTTGGTGTTTAATTTTTCTGTATAACAAGCATTAGTGTAAAAGTTCCATTAATTTGATTTTTTTATCATAATATATTTTGTATTGAACTAAGCATAAATAAGTTTATATGTTTTAATGTAATTATAACGTGCAATGATTCAATAATTAAAGGATACTTTGTTTATATCAAAATGTTTGTTTCACTGTAATTAGTTTTTATTATTATTATTATGAACCATAATCTTTATGAAAGTTAAAGGTTTTCATTTTTTTATAAGCATAAATGTGATAATCATAATGTGTAGACTACCACAGGTAGGTGATTAGTGTTTAAGTTTTTTCTATATTTGTGAATATTCTTTGTTTAAAGGCTATATAAATATATATTTGTACTTGTGATCTTTGTTAAACGGTTTATTATTTCTATGTTAGTTTTGTGTATATTTTATATTACTTCATTTTGTATTGTATTGCATCTTTTCATTCTTAGAGTTTTAGAATTGTGAGTTGTAGTTCCTTGTTTAAGGCTTGTGACATCCATGTTGCATGTAAACAGTTACAAAAGCAAGAGAAAGTTAACACACTTCTTCACCATGTTACAAATGTAAAGCTAATTGGTTGTAAAGCTAAATTTGTCAACTATTGGACAAGCCTGAAACAAAGGTGGAATGAAATATGTGGTATGCAGTAATATCATACATTTCTACCTTTTTTAAATGGGTTTTGAATGTAGACTTTTTCACTTACCCTGAATCTGTGCAGTTTTCACATAACAGGTGGTCCAGAAAAACCATTAAGTTGACTTTATTCTAGCTGCCTGTTATTCTATAGAGATGATATATGTTCTGCCCTTGAATGTTACTGCTATAATGCTGCATGCCTTGCAATAATGTTGATAGCAGCATGGTTTAATGTTAGGGTAGATGATATCTCAAGGTTATAGCTTCCTCTGTGTCACATGAGAATGACCAGTCATGTGGATAATGCTAGTCACTATGGATAACTCTAAAGTTTCCTGTTAAATAAAATACCTTAGAACTAGTCTAAATAGGATCTCAAGTGAACTGATTCATAGAAACACATCTCGAGAAAGAAAATCAGTTAATCAATTCATGAAGCCACTGAAAGGTGACTATCTAATGCACACTGTGTTTTGTCTTTGTCAATAAAATATTGTCTTTAAGTTACACACTGTACCCAACTTTATTATTTTTTAGCTTAAACTGGGGCAGTTTAGTTAAATTCAGTATCACTTTATAACCTGCTGATCCTATCATTATAAAGCAGATCTACCTAATACTCTGTATGGAAATTGGTTTAACCTGAGAATACCACAATTGGACAAGAGTCTTTAAAAAACAAACTTTATGAAGGTGCTCTTCACTCGCAGGTTGGCTACTCACAAGAGCAGTGGCTGTGCAATTAGACAGACTTCATCATACAATCTTGAGAAAAAATATTAGTGAGAACTAGAACCAGAATGCCACCCATTTCATTCAGGAAGTCCCACTGATGTATAGGGAAATCATTATCTTCAGTATCCTGTCTTCACACTTGATCATCATACCAAACAATCATAAAAATGTAACTAACACCTTACCATATATACTGGTCCATGTAAAGAAAGACAAATCTAGATTAGTGAGCCATCTGACCATGTTTCACAGCACAAGATAAAAAGAATTAATGCAGTTTAATGTTGTAGTGAGATTCATCTTGTTCATTTAGAACTTGTAAATAATATACGAAACCTGCAATAAACTGCTTTTCATATTGTATGAAAAATATTAGTATTCATGTGTTAAGTTATGAAGTTTAGATTATGATAACTATATATCATAGTTTCAGTCTTTTTTTTTTAATTTCTTCTGCAAAAATGTATGATAAGGTTGTTTTACCAGCCAGTAAAATCATCTTCATTCATTGAACATTCAGATCCTGAACACAGGGCAACAATCAAAGTAATTATGGTAGCAGTGAGAACAAGTGAAATCATCTTCATTCATTGAACATTCAGTTCCTGAACACAGGGCAACAACCAAAGCCATTATGGCAGCAGTGAGAACAAACCATACAAGAGCTGACAATAATGTATTTGGATAAACACCATGAGTGACCAGTAAGAAATTTTGGGAAGGGCAAATGAAGGAGCAAGACATAGTTTGGGTGTTGCTTGTTATGTAGCAATGTAAAAGTACTGATACACATAATAGCTGGTGCCTGTATAGTCAGTTATGAAGGTGTTGTTCTACTGTCAGAACCATTAAGACATGGTAGTCAATCTTTAATGTAGCTATTGGTTCACAGAGCTCTAAGTCAGAAAATACTTCAGACTTTGCATAATGCAAGGACTGAAGAGCATTGTTGTGAAATGTATAAATGTTTTTTTTTCTGGTTACATTCACATAAAGATGTTGAGCACTGGTGAAGACACTATACCATATGCACTTCACAGATGAAAACCAGCTGCATCGGGGAAAAATTCCATTAAAGAGATGTAGGTCCTCCTCCCAAGAGAATTATCCTAAGTATAGTTGTACACTCTTCAAAACTGAAAAACCAACCAGGATGTGTTTGTTATTATCATTATCCATTAATTTACCAAGTGGGTTAAAGTTATCTGTTGATTGACACACTATTGCAGATGTGTTGGCTCAACAATGAGAGACTTTAGATATTTGAGCTAACAAGATTTGCTGAGTTGTGGTGAAAAGGAGCACTTCAGTCTATCATACTCAGTCTGATGGTTCAGCTGAATGGTTAGTACAAAGGCGATAAGTGTATGTTTTTAACCTGACTGAATTTATTGGAATGAGCATCAACCATATTTCATGAAAGCATCTCAAGCAATAGTCAACTTGATGTTCAGATGAGAAGTACAGTTCTCAGTGGATCTGATGTACAACCCTCCACCCAGTGGAGATGTTCCACAATGTCCACAAAAATGTGTATGATGATTGTGTTCTGCAGTGATTGGTGTGCATGAGTTTACATATGAACAAATGATGTTTTTACAAAATATTAATGAAATAAAAGTTCAAGACTGATACTTGGGTTTGGCTAAGATGCATGGTAGGTCTGTACTAATCCTCCCGCGATGCAGTAAATTAGAGAACAGAAGCCAGCCACTAAGTAAAATGTACACACAATTACCATGAATAAAGACACTGTTTATTCACTTGTATATTTGTTCTTCCTTTGCTGTCCATGTCTGTTGTATTACTGTACATAATATTTCTGAAAATTGTGTCTTTGGTATACTTCTCAGACAAGACTCCCATTACTCCACCAAAAAAAACCCACTGATCAAGAAACTCACAATCAAGAAACAATAACCAGGCAATTCCAATAAAACAAAAAGCATACAAAATAAAGGGTTTGCTACCCACCTGCAACAATTTCACTTAGGACCTTTACACTTTTTGATTTACATCAGTGACATAAATGAAGGAATGGTAAAAAAATTACTTAAATTTACAGATGATATTAAGGTCTTGATAGTGTTGATGCATCATCTTTTTAATACTTAATAGTGAGAATAGTAGGACTAAGGGACAAAAACATAAATTTTGGCAAGTTAGGAGTCATCTTTAGCTAAGACAGTGAATGCTCTTTGGAATAGGTTGCCTTTGGATGTTGTGATGGCAGTATATTTTAGTGAGTTTATGAAAAAGCTTGGTAATTATATGAATGATAAGGGCTAGCTTTAAGATATTTTATTTTTTAAATTCATCTATTAATAGATTTAGTTTAGTTTAAAGGATAGGACAGCTGAGATAGACCAATAGGTCCATGTTGTCCAAAACATTATGTTATCCCTACATACAGCTATCAAAGATTGTAGCTAAGACAATTTTGACTGGAAATTGTTTTAGAGATTATGCTTCAAGTATGTCTTAGGTATCTGAGGTCATCTTGTTACCATGACAAGAATAAAAAACACTTAAATTGTGCATGTTATTAAATGCACTAATTAATTAAAGGGCTTTTAAAATTGAAAACATTAAAATAATTTTCATTTTTTGATGAAAATTTACTTAGTCCTTCTAATTTTCAGTATAAAAGTAGTTTTCTTTATGTACTTCATACACAATAAATATTATGATAATGTATTTATAAATTTGTTATAAGTAGTGTTTTTTGTATAGTACTAATACTTATAGTTGGCAATTAAAAATAAAACTTAAATTATGCCCATGAATACAGTAGCTTGCTATTTTAATCAGTTAATTTCTGACACCCACTGATAAAACATGTTCTTTTCTATAATTTTTGATTCATATTACATTTGTGCATGACATTGTGTCTACATTAATAGCATCTTATTTTATGTATTCACAACTTGTGTATAATTTTGAGTAGTGTTCCTAAATTTTCATGCAAGTATTTTGCATATATTTAGTATCTTCCCAGTATGTATGAAGGCTGTAAACTTACAATAATTTCTTTCCTAGGTAAAGATTACACACTACAATGACTATTCCATAGGATCTTGCACCATCTTGACCGTGTGTCAGCTCCCTCAGGTGTGATAAGCCCATTTAAAGAGATACAGGTAACTGTACAAGTTAGTATGAGTTGGGGTTTTAGTTGGAATAATTGTTGACATAGGTAGTTAAGGATAATTGTGTACCTCATTAAGAACCTAATCTGACTTGAAAGAATATGAAAGAAAAAAAACATTGATATTCTTAAATCTAGCTGGTACTAACAGCTGTATTTGTTGCTTTCTTTGTACATATAGACTTCACTTAAGTGTGACACAGATAACTAGTGCAAAATTAAACGTTTTTATTTATTTTAAACTTAAAAAATTTTACCTGTTACTTCAGTAAACACAAAATTTAAACTTCTCTTTGGAATAATATTTCTTTTAAACATTCTCTTATTGAGCATACAAGTCCTTCTGGTTATAAGAGCTTTCTTCAATGATGGAATTTCCTAAGCCATTTGTGGTGGTTTGACTCCCAGCTTCTCTGCTAAATTCATCTAATTATAGAGAAAGCAAATAACTATCTTTTAGGTCTGTTGGCAACATGAATATTACAAATGCTAATTATTTATTGGCTTCGTAACGAAAGATAATTTTTCAGTGATGGTTTTCCTGATAATAGCATTTAACAAAGAGTAGCAATTTTCCAGTTAATAATGTTGCCACTGTAGAGTTATAATTTTGTTGGAGGAAGGAATATCATTTAAAACTTACTTTAACAACTATTTGATCTTATGTTGTCATTGTTTTTTCCTGGGCTTATTTACATCTTACAAGCTGGTTCAGACATACTTAAACTTTATTAGTTAAAAAAAAATCAAAGTTAAATAATTTTTAGTCAAAAACAGAGATCAGTTCTGCATGCTTCCATCTATACAATCATAATCAACATGAACTTTTTGAAAAAAATAGTTTCTAGAGTTTTTTTTTTTGAATGTGCCTACTCTACAAGTAAAGAAGGAAGTCAATCTGTTATTAATTAAAACTTTGATGTGTTTTTTTTTAAAGTGAAGTATGTCAAATATCAAGAAATTATTCTAATATAAATTTATTTTACATGGCATGATATGTCGTGTTAATATCAAGCTTGCATTTCAACTTAGGCCAGTCATATTGATTTACAAGTATTTAATATATGGTACCAATGTTCCCATCTTACTCATGATCAGTTGTACTTCGCAACTCAAATTATACCACACTTCAATGAAAGACTGTGCATGTAATAATACAGTAAACTTCTATAACCTTTATGTTTTAAGTGTATTTTACTTCAAATTAATTTTTCTAACCTAAGGACGCATTACAGATTTCCCACATAAATATTACTAGTTCTGCTCATCATGTTAAGTTCATATCTAATGATACCTAATATCTCATACTATTAAATAAAGGAGTTATTCAAAAGAGAAATCAAATTGTTCATAAAATATTTTAAAGGTTCTTCCACTTCATAATCTCATACTTACAATATACTTAATCTGGTTTTCATGATAGCGAATTCCACCTTGTGCTTCACATTTAGCTATATGTTCTCTCTCAGGATCTCCTGGCACAAGGATTTTTGATTCACCTTCTGCCTAAAGGTGGAGGATAATTTCAGGTAAGCAAATGGAATGTATTAGAAAGATTTTTGTCTATGCTAATACAATAATATAAATAAAATGAAATCATACTTTAAAAAAACACACCTAAAATCAAACCTAATAATCTGATCACTTGAAGTAAAGCCAATAAATGAAAAGCATTCATGTTACTAGTTGTTGTTTTTTTTAATTGTGAAAAAATAAAATTATGGATTTATTATTATTATAATTATTCAAATTAATCAGATGAAAGGGATAACTTAGGTTCCTAAAAATAATTAATATTTTTCCTTTCTTCTTAAGTTAAGTTGATTAACTAATAACATTTAATTTTCAGTACAAACAAACTAAAGCTGTTATTATTTGGGTAACCTATTGATTATCTATATTTATTTTGTTTCAAGTTTATAAAATTATTCTGTTACAAAGTTCAATAAAATTATAAAAGTTTCAACAAATGAAATATAATGCAGTTGTGAAAGGTTATTCTAACATACAGATTCACATTTCTACTACATATTTTGTATTTAATAATGGATGGGTAAAAGCAGAAGCCTAAATTAAAAAACATTTATGTTTACAGTTTAGATTTAATTGCTTTGATATTGATACAATTAACAGTAAAAGTTACAGATGAAAATAATAAATTTTTAACAATGTGATACACATTTACATTTGGCATTTTATGTTATTTATAAATATATAAAATTCTAGGCAAAATTAATGAGATTTTTTTATATTAGTTAACTGCTAAGAAACTTTTAGATAAACATAAATTCAATTAGAAACATTATTACAGATACGTTTAAGCCCTACTTATATCAAAATTCAAAAACAATTTCTATGTGATCTTCTACCCTACGAATTTGCAAGTTTTAGAAGTGCTATTTTTGTTTAGTTGGTATATATATGTGTGTATTTTTCAAGTAACTGCTTAAATATTATGAACTTTGATTATAATAAAACTTTTAATTAATTCAAAGAGCTGATTATTTAATACTAGTGTAAAAGCAATGTAAAAAAACACTTACTAAGTAAATTAACATTCACATACTGTAAATTGGTTACTTTCCTCTTACTCTAGAGGCATTAATTTTCACTAAAAATTACTGAACAATATTTTAAGCACATTAGTTGAGAAACTTCACACATATTATAGGTAATTTTCATGTTTTTTATATTTTTTAAGACATGAAAAATTGTTTTCACTCAACTTATTTCTTACAAGAGCTTTTTCTTTTTTTCCCCTAAAACTAAGCTTTTTTGGATTTCAAATTCCACTATATCATACTGCTAAGAGGTAGTAACATAAGAAACAGATAAACAGTGTCATAGTTTAAGTTATAAAAAGTGGTTTACTAGCAAGCACCTGTGAGTTAATCCTTTAAACTCAGTTGGTGAAGCACTCATATGGTGTGCGAAAGATCTCCTGTTCGAATTGGAGCTGAAGAAGTAATAATAAATTTGAAATTGGAAAACTGATGGCCAATGTGGGCCTTGTTTGTGAGAGGATAAGAATGTGGCAGCTTGGGTTATTGAAAAAAAAAGCTATACTAGTAAATATACATCTGTGATAAGTAGAAGCTTCCTTATACTAAAATGTTGCATTCTATGCAGTAACTCAGAATGAATTTTTAAAATGTACATACTTATATATGTTTTAATAAATTAAGACTGAATTCTTAGACAAATATTAAAGCAAAAGATAAGTTTCTAATTTCCAAAAGAAATTAAATGCTATGAAACTGGTCATTTATAGTTAAACCTTACATGATGAGAAAAATCCAAGAACTTTTCTTGGATTTGATTTGAATTTCAGACATTTTAATTCATGAAAGGATTAAAAAATATCTCTTACTGAATATTCTTCTCCAAAATATGATAGAGCCTACATAAAAAGTTCATAATGATGAAGAGTCTCAGCACTTTAAAGGTAGTTTAGTGAAAATATTAAAATAGCTTATACGTTACAAACACATCACATTGTTGTTTTTCTATGCACTGTACTTTAAGATAAAAGAAAGTTAATTAACAAACATGTATTTAAATTCATGCATTATGAAGACAGTAATGAATATTAAACTTCAAAAAGGAAGGACCTTGTTACAAACAGCAAGACCAAACCTATGATTAGATAAAACATTTATAATATAAAACAAGCCTTAAACAAAAAGCTGCACAGAAAAACAAAGTCCCCAGAGCACAGGCTATAATGTAGGGTACAAGATGGGTCCTGGTTTTTGGAGGTGACTGAGGAACTAGGACACACACATAGCAGTGGGGATACACCATCTATCAGTTTTAACCTCTTCATGAGTGGAGAATGGGTGTGGTACTAATTTAAGTAACTTGATAGGGATTTGATCCCAATATATTTTTTTTGCTGTGCTGCTAATATTACCTTATTAATTTCAGCTTTTAATACCATGATGGGGGCTGGTATGTCAACTCCAGGTGAAAAGGTTTTCTTACTCACACACCCCAATAGTAGAACTTTTCTTTTTTTTTGGTTATTTATTTTTCACTTCTTTCCTTCTGAGAGCAGTCACCTTCCTAAAAATGTTTCAAGCAGTGAAAGAGATGTTTAATGATGTGGGTTTGAGCACCCACATCTTGCTCTCTTATCTTTAACTTTTATTTTTTCTTACTTCACTCATATTGTTATTTTTGTGAGGCTTCACAAAAGGAGGTTAAGACTGATAGATGGTGTATTCCCATCACTATGTGTGTCCTACTTCTGCAGTCATTTCCAAAAAACTAGGACACATCTTTTACCACAAAATTATAGCCTATGTCCTGGTAGCTCTGTTTTACTGTATAGCATTTTTATTAGGGCTTGTTTTATATTATAAATATATACATATTTGGCTTTGATCATCTTGAGCATAGTAACTTTTTATTTATATTTTTGAGTTTGGTAGGTTGATAGTGCTTTCACAGCTTTAACACTGCTCCTCAGCCAATTGACTTTTTATAGTTCTATATGTATAGGAGGTAATTAAGTTCTTGCATTATTTAATATTAACTTGTAATGTTATTTAATTATTTAATATTAACTTGTAAGCCTGGGTATACATTATACATACAGATGCTATTTATATTATCAAACTGCACGAAGAAAAGCTGTTATGGTATGAGCTAGATTAAGTTTGTGAAGTGTAATTTTCATCAATTTTACAGCTTACGTTATTGTTATTGCAACATATATGAACTTGGAGATATACTGTGTGCATGCATGTGGGGAATGGAAGTAACTTTTGAAAGGTCAGATTGTTCTGAAATTGAATATCATTGTTAAAAGTAAGAAGGACTGGTAGTCAGCTGCCTAGCAATAACTTACCAATATACATGTTTAGGTGCAGTGACTAATAATGAGCAGAAAATAAATAGCTTCATAATCAATCACGGAAACAAAAAAATATATAGAAAAACAGCTAAGAAACTGGTACTAATGGTGAAGCTGAGAAAGGTTTGATCCCAATTAACTGCATTTTCTCTACTGATTTGAATAAAGTTAGAAATTGGACTACACAGTAAATACAGGTTTCATTCCCAAGTCTACCTAGCTATGTCAGCCTAAACTTACATATTGAGGTTGAGTATATTATGTTAAAACTATTCTGGAGCTTCACCACTTCATTATAGTCCATGTTATGATATTTGATCATGCTGTATTTGATTACTGCATGTACGTCTTGACAAAAGCCCTTTAGCATAATTTCCATTGCAAAAAGCAATTTCATAAGTATATCATGTCTACTAAAACGTACATCTCTTTTCTGCATGCTTTTAATAAGCCATCTAGTGTACAAGGATGACAGTTTCCCAGTGTTTATTTATTGTATTTATTTGTGTGATCTAACCAAATGGCCAAAATAACTTAAAGGTGTGAAAAGTTTGTTGAAATGGATTCAGCTGAAGACATTTGATCTGTTAAAACTGAACTCAAAGAACTTGAAATACTGTATAAGTCACTAAGTTGTGTTATCAGATGGTGAGACAACTGATGTCAGTGAAACAGATCTATTTGACAAATATGACTGAAATGCCTCCAAATAGTATAGTGGAATACATGCACAAGAAGAAACTGGTATTGTTATTACCAAATACCTTAGTCACATTGAGAACTTTACTGGCTTCACCTTACCATTGCTAGTTAAGAAAGGTTTCCAAATTCAAATTCATTAAAACCTATCTCAGTACAACCCAAATGTAAAAAAGAAGACTGACTGAACTGGCAGGAATTTTAATAAAACATGAACTTGAACAAAAACTGAACTTGAAACAAGCAATGTATTGTGCCAATTCATTGAAAGGAAGATAAGTTAAATTTTGTAATTGTAAAGTTTTGAACAGTCACAGTAATAACATGATATAAAATTTCCTGAGGTTTTGAAGGATAAATATAAATAAATAGTTTTAATATGATTAGTAGTCCTACAGTTTTGTTGCATAATTGAAGTTGAAAAAGTACGCAGAAGATTTGACACTTTTACTAGGGAAACAAAATAGCTAGTGCTAGGCCTGTCTAATCTTACCAAAAATACTGGCCCTGAAAAAGAAGCTTGCCCTACATCAGTCTATGAAGACACAATTGTAAATTGAGTAAGCGATATCATTCCATTTAATCAAGTTGGAAAATATTTGAACAGTATTAATTGAAACTTCATGAAATATGAAAAGTGTAATCATAAACGATGAATATTAATTGATTATGATTAATTATGTCAATATTCAAATGATATTGTTACTGGTACATCTGTTTAGAGTTCAGGTATTTGAAAAGGTTAAGTTTAGATACATATAATGAAATATATTTCGTTATACTGATGAACTGTGATAATGTGGTTATACCAACCTTTGTAACTAATAAAATAACTTTTGAGTGATAAGGTTTGAAGTGCTTTGTTTTAATATATTTATTCTAGCTTTCGTATATTCAAGTCAAATTACATTTTCTACTTACAGGTTCTTGGTTTCTGCATATCTCCATTAAATCACTCATTCTGTCTTGAAAGCCAGGAGCAAATACATCAGGGTTGATGGCAACAAAACACTGCCCCTAATAAAAAAACATTGTATAATCCATGATCTTACAAGTGAATAGCTACCTACAGAATCATAACAAATAACAGACTAATGTAAAGTCTGATTAAACAAGAACATTCAGTTATGTCACAATTAACATGCACTAAATCTTAGACAAATTAAAACAACTTATTATTAAGAATTTCTAAACAAAAATATACTAACTGTAAAGTCATAAGTAAAACTTAAAAGTATTAACATATGCATTTATGAAAGCAATACTAAACAATTAAGTGAGTAAAAATACTTAATGTTTTAAATCAATATTTCAGAATACTAAAGTATTTAAGAATTACATTATATAATGAATCATCTGTTGGGGACTTTAACTATTAAAAATACTTTAGACCATAATTGCTATATCTTACAATATTTGTCCAGCTTAGAAATTGTGTGCTATCCTAAATCCACACACTAAGTCAATAATGCAAACCCATTTACATAAATGCAATTACAATTTGAAACAAATTGTATCTTTTTCTTAGAGTATATGTACTTCATGAAAGATAATAGTTCTCCTTTGGTAGAAGCACTGTAAAGTTTGTGGTCATATCAGATATTGAATAAAATAATTTTAACACTTATTTTCAATTTACAAACTTAATGTAATAACAACCTACAACTGTCTTTAAAAACAAGCACTACTTTATTATTGCAGCTTTTTACTAATACAGGTTAATATATGAACAAGTGAACTTTTAATTCTAGAAATAGCACAAAACACTTCATGCTATCCTATTCCAAAATTACTATGAAGTAATCAGCTACTTAATTATTGTTAAATCCACATTCTACAATCTTTTTCAAGAACAATTAAAGAATCATTTTACATTACACAATAAAGCCTTCACTAAACAGATATTCTGGATTAGAGGTGAGTAACCTATGGCTACCATTTATTGAATCTACAGGAAGTCTCTGCACCAATCAGAAACATGGATAAACCAACCAATCATAACACACTCTCCACAATCCACAAGAATACTATAAAGTTCAACTACACCATACACATACTGACCTGAAGACGAAAGGTGGAATTCTTTCAAAAGAAGTCGTCCTCTACACTTGTGTTTCTACAACAGGCAGTTGCCATCCATTCAACTAAGTTTCATCAATAACAATATTGTTTCTACTAAACCTTACTAAAGATATATTATAATTATTTTTGATAAAATGGAATATTTGAGTAAAACAAATATATAAAGCTTGACCAATATCCTAATGATAACAGAGAAATACAATTACAAAAATATGCTTTTATGACTCCTCCTATTTTGAGAAATCAAGTGTGACCTGATGTGACACACACTGGCTTTTATATATGTTAGATTTTTACAGGTTATTTAGATGTTTTATTTTTTTTGAAGAACTATACTACTAATAAATATTTGAAAGATAGTTTTGAATTATTTTTTCATGAAAACAGTGGTTGGGGATTGTCCACAGTCTTTTAAATCATTATATTATTGAAGATATTGTAGATGACACTTACTATTTTCAAGGACCCAGATCAAGTTTCTCAGTTTCTGGAGTATACTGGAACTATATTTCCATATGTTTCAGGGTACAAGGGTCCATGGATAAATGAGGTGTGTATAAGTAATTGTGTGCGACTATAATGTTTTGATAAAACAGTAAGATAAACCAAAATATTTAATGAAGATGCATGCAAGAGTTGGAAAGACAGAAGAATGTTTTAAAATATACTTACTTTCAAACTACTTCATTTTCTTATAATTAAACAAAACATCTTTAAGTTTAAGAGAAGTGTTTTTTTTTCAAAATGTTTTTTCTGTAAATGTATTGTCTGCATTAGTGCTAGTTGATAATGTAGGAGTGCAATACAACAGTAATATAATCTGGTAGGGGCACAGATAATTGAAGTTATAGATGAATGGGGTGCAGATAAACAAGGTTCTACTGTAGTTAAATAGCAAGTGTAACAGTACCAAATTTACTGTTGAATATTAGCAAGACCATCAACCTGCATTTTCAAACAGTATTGTAAATGTGACAGTGGCTTTAAATGTGAAAGTGACCATAAAAAACACATTTACTGGGGTGTATTTTAATTTTATAAGTTATGTACCATGTTTAAAGAAGACTAGGTGAAGATCTTGGTACATCATGCACATAAGATTTCAATCACCTACATATTTTTGCATTAAGAATTTGACAACATTACGAGATTTTACAAAAATGGTTGTCCTATCTATTTGATTGATGGAATAATTCATGACTATTTGAACAAATGAAACTTTACAAAACCACTGATGTATTTGTTTCATAATATTAAGTTTTCATAATTCTGCCATATATTTATAAGTATTCTTTGTTTGTTAACAGCAGCTGTGCACCCTATTTTGTAGAGTATCTCCACAAGTACAACTTAGGGTATTTTTAAACAAGAATGTCTTATGAAGTATTTCTTCAGATTTAAGAGATCATACTTCTCAACTCAAAACATCAAATCTCATTTACTAAATTACCTTGCAAGCAATGTTACAGCAGTTCTATAAAAAACCCATTGACACAGGCGAAGGTGAAGTAACAGTGAAGTTTAAGAATGCCAAGTAAATCAGCTGTATTGAAGTACACTTTAGGTGAGTGTAGCATAGTTTTCCATTTAAATTATTCTAAAATCTTAACACATGAAAGACCAATTATAAACATAGCCATCATATAAAAGAAAACTTGCTCATTCACAAACAGAGACCACAAGTTAACTAAGTTTGCTCAATATATATAAATTGCTGCTTATATTAAAACCACAGTAAGAAAACTTGTTCAGTTATAATTTATTGCTTAAAAAGGAGTATATATGAAGTGATGAAAGCATTGATTGAAAAGATCCAACCATTTTTTCTTTTTAATTCGGTTTTATTTGGACATAAATTTCAAAGTAATGCATTGCATGGTCTTTTTTTTTCCAAATGGGTGGTTAAAATTTTCAGATGGATCTCATGATTGCTATAGATAACTGAATATGTGCTTTGAAAAATAAAAGGTAATCATAATGGCCAATATTAACAAGATATTGCAATAAGTCCTCCCCTCCAAATCTTATCTGATAAAATACACCGAATACAGCAAATGTCAAGAAAGAACAATATTCAAGGCAGTGGAAAAGGGCATAAACTATAGCATATATGCTTCAGAGTAACAGACACTTAACATAGCATTAACTTGAGACTTTTTTGTGAGAAAGATATATTGGAGCATAATAAATTGTGACCTGTGAAATCAAAAAGAAAGGCATAAGTCCCAAATCTGTCTACTTTTGTTTGTGATGGTTGTCTAAATTGGTCAAAATTGTGCAAAACTATTGCAACTTCTTCAAATTCACAAGAAAGGCAAGAATCCCAAACCTGTCTGTTTGAGTCTCTAAAGGCTGTCACATTTAATATTTGTATGCAAGGTCACATATAAACTCGTCAAAATATTGAGAAACAGATGACCAAATAAGTCTAATTTTGTTTGAATATTTTATCTTTGACTGCTATATAATAAATGATCCCAGATCCAAAGTTTGACTGCTTAAGTCTGTGGGAGTTGTTACAAGGTATCTTTCTGCTAAGTCCCATTTGGATTGATGGAAATGTATATAAGAGAACTACAAACCAAAATGTTTTGAAATATTTGACCCTCTAAAATCAGAATGGACTGTGGCCTATATAAAAAAAGATTTCTGAGCACATAGGACCAAGGTATATTCCCTCCAAATTTCAAAATGATCAATCTAGAAATAGAAATGTTGCACAACTATAATTGTTGAATTGAAGAAGAAAACTGTTTGTTTATTTTTATAGCAAAGCCAAATTGGGCTAAATGCTGTGTCCACTGTGGAGAATCGGACCCCAAATTCTATCATTGTACACTTACCACTGTACTACTGGAGGACAGAAGAAGAGAAAAGAAACATAAGAAATACAATGTCTTCTCCCTATGATAGAGATATAATAAAAAGGTGCTTGACTGTTTAGCAATTTTCATATTAATAAGATACTGTGAATTGAAACTGAACAAGTGCTAACACAAGAAAATAAGAAGAAAACTAAAAGTAATCTTATTCTAAATAAACATTAAACTTATCTACAATGTAATAATTTATTTAAATAAATATAATTTGTGGTCTGCTAAAAATTAATTGGAATATAGAAAGAACATATGAAAGAATTATACAAATTTAACATTTACTTTATGCCAATTTAAAAATGGAGGGTATTTGTAAATCCACAGAAAAAACTACAATCGTATAACTATTCCTTGCTATTAACTAGGTTTAAGTCTTATTAATCCATATGTTAGAATTTACTGCTTATAGCCACCTTGTGATATTTGAAACAGTAGTTTAAGTCAAATTGAAAGTTCAAATTTTATCAGGAAAAATACTTTGTTAAAATACTTTCTATAAGAACAAGTTAAAAAAAATGCATGGTACAAGAAAATTAACTTTTCTTAAGTATATAATGCCACCAAATATAAAACTGAAAAATACAGACTGCTAAAAAACAAAATCTAACCAGATCTGCTATTTTAGAAGTGTCTAACCACCGACGAATGTTTGGACCATATGTTGCACCTGCCAGTAATCCACAAAATACTTCAACCATAATAGCTAGACCATAACCCTTATATCCACCTGCAAAAATATACAAAAATGATTGACATTTATCAAACTGCAAGATAGGGCTCACACAGTTTTGGTTACTCCATACATGTGGTCAAACTATCATTAGCTCACAACTTTTAACAGGTAACAAAATAAAATGATGGAAAACAAATAACTTGGGTATCAAATGAGAACCAAAAACACATTTACTTTTATAATTATTTAATGTTGAAACTTTACACTAAATGCTGAACAAGTATAATATTTGTGCATAATTTTGTCTGTGTGGTCACTGAGAGTCTCAAAATTATGATACATTCAGTACATGTTCAGGTGTACACACCTCACCTCTTGTACCACTCAACAAACAGTCAATTAAACAATTCACCTTCATGTAGCAATTGGTCAGTTACATAGTTTTTTTCAGTAACAAATAAATGGTTGGAAATTTTTTTTCCTTGATGCAGTAAACTAGTAAATTGCAATCTTCATCAAATCTACTGAACCATGCTTTATTTTTAAGAACTCTAAATATTATAAAAAGTTAAGGCATGGTTCATTATTTTTAAAGCCAAATAGGTTAATAATAGTCAAGCATGCACCCCCCCCCCAAAAAAAATACATTATCCTCTACAAAACGCAAAGAATTATGACTAGTAAGTCATTTATTCTCTTCAAAGTTGAATACATTTTTAACTAGCTGGTCATGGATCCTCTCTAGAACCCAAATATTGTCACCAATTGGTTTTAATGTCTACTAACCAAAAAGATTACAGCTAGTTTGTCAAGAATCCTCTCCAAACCAAAGTTTTTAACTAATTAATTATCCATTCATTCCAAATCTCAGTGAATTGATACTAGTCAGTCAGGTATAATCTTCAAAATATCAAACAAGGTGTTTTTACTGTTGAGGCAATTGCACAACCAGTAACGGTGATTTGGAAACATCCATAAAGTAAAGTGCCACAGTTATTAGTTTGTGGTCAAGTTCCTATGACATGAATTTTTGGCTTGTAAGAACCAGTGTCTAAAATTTTGGGTCTTTGACCAAGTTTTTTCTAAATGATGTGTATTTTAGCATAGATGTTTCCATTCACATTATTGTTTTGTTTTATTCTCTTCTTTTCTTCCATTATTTAGAAATTACAAATGGTAAATGAATTCACTATCCACTGAATCAACTACCTGGAAAAACCAAAAGTGTCTTATTTCTTTGACTAATACAAATCAATTAACTAATGTTTACTGATAGATCTAAGTTCAGAGTATACACTAATACAACAATTTTGCTTACATGCTAACTTTTAACACACTATACAACACATGGCATACCTCTTATTACTTTGATAACACAAACTTAATATTCCAAAACTGAACTAAGTAACTGATGAACAAACTCAGCCAAATAATAACTCACTTGGATTGTAAAATACCTTGAACAATCTTATAATACATCATTTTCATTAAAGATAATTAAATGTGTACAATCAAAATGTTGACTAAGAAGAAATAAACCTTCTTTCTTTAGCCAATGACAGATTAAGAAGGATAGGGAATCTACGTAGCTTCATTGTAGATGCAAATATCGTATGATCAGTCATGGACGTTTTTCCACCACTGTAAATTTCATATAAAGGAAACACCTAAAATAGTGCCTGAAGCCACCTTATCTTCAATTAACTTTTATCAACTCTTTTCTTTAGGAGAATTACTTATTTTGATAACTCAAGCTACTTTAAGGTTAGTAACATTTATTTTTTGAATCACTATGACATGAATATCTGACCTCAAGGATTAACAAATACACCCTAAAACTTAGGATATATATATACTTAGGTGGAGAATGGTATTATATAAATATTTTCTACCTTCTTATATTAATACAGTATTATTTTTGTTTGTTTGTTGTTAAGCACAAAGCTAAACAACTAGCTATTTGTACTCTGCCCACTGCAGATATCAAGACTTGATTTTTAGTGTTGTAAGCCCTCAGACTTAACGCTGACCCACATGGTGGCTGAGTAACTATAATATTATTCTGAATTTATCATTTATTGTAATTATGTGCAGTTCTTACATAAAACATGGTCAAAAAATTCATTAAATTGATGTTGTTCAAGCTGCCTTTGTTCCTTTGTCATTTTATTGAGATCACACTTGTTCTGCTCATGAGCTTGCAAGAATGTAGGGATCAGTACCCCTTCAATGGTAGATAAGGTGGTATCTCAAGGTTACAGCCTTTTCTACGTTTGAATAAGAATGATAAGTCATGTGATTAGTGTTAGTCAATCTGGGTAAAGCCAACTTTATCTGTAAGGAAGTAAGATACATTAAGTTTTAAATAGTCTGGTAGATGATCTTGGCCTGATTAGTTGGAGAGAATAGTTCAAATCCAGTTCAAATGATAGTCCATTGTCCAAAGCAAGTACACACACTGTTTATTTGTGTCTCTGTGGTATAATACAGATTGTGCTTTTGTATTGTAAGTTGTGTACAGTCTCTTTATTTCATTCTCATGAATTCAGGTATTTGAAAAACTCAAAATTGCTTCATTACAAATATCTTGTTGGATCTCCTGTTATTCTGTAGACCTATCTCATCAATCTAAGAGAAATCAGTAAAGGAGTAAAGAAAGATACATAAACAACATTATCCAAGACATAACTTACTATAATTCAGTTTGTTTGTTTGCTGTTAAGCACAAAACTACACATTAGGCTATTTGTCCAATTCCCACAACAAGAATCTAAACCTGATTTATCTTTGATCTGCTGTAGAAAGATGGCAATAAAATAAATCTTCAAAATTTTAATTTACCTTATAACCTTAACTAGCTTAGCTAAAACTTCAATGATTTATTACACTTTTATTTTTTCTTATTTTGCTTCATCGGATCTTCTCCCAGTATTACCCACTTACTGTTGATGGTTCAATACACTTAAGTTTTCTTTGTAGAATTTGTCTCTAACCATAATTTTAATCCAACTTGCTTTCAATCATCCCAACATCAAAAACAAGGCATAATGATCCCCCAATTCATATAATTGTAAAAATGGAACTAATATTTTGGTTTGAAAAAAAAAATCTAGTAAAAGGTACATTGAACATATACATATATGTAAAATATAACACTCATGTTTATGCATTTGAGCTTTTACATATGTTCAGGATATTTGAAACATATGTCATAATCAAAAACCTCTGAAATTTATAAAATTTAAGATAACATGCAATCAACGATTTTATCATCCAGTTTTTTGTACTATAAAAGTAGAAATTTTATTGATAATAATAAAAAGAAACCTTTCAGATATTTTGCAGAGTAGTATTTCATAAAATCTGACATTTACTTGTATGTTCAGCACCACCTAGTGGCAGAAGACTTCCTCCATTTAAAACTTCTTTTGGGTCAGTTGTAATCTAAAAATAATTGAAAATCACAATCTTACAAAACACTAGAAATTGTGATCTAAACATTTTCTAAGATGAGAATATATTGGAAATAGTAAATCAGATATGTAGACATAAACGTGTACATTAACAGAGTTAACATTTTCCTTACCTGAAAATGTACTTCTGATGGATACTTACCTTTCTGCACATAGTGGTTATTCCTCACGTTTGCACATACCACTAAACTTTAATTATATCCCACCTAAAACACGTTTTTCAACAAGAATAATGTTAGTGCATGATGTACTCATCATGTGGTAATGGTTCTACACCAATTGGAGAAAGACACATTCTCCATGCACAGTAGATCCCCATACACACTTGCAATCAAAATTCACTTCATTCTAAGATGAGGCAAGAATAGTATGCACTGGTAGGGGGGGGAAGAGGTAAATATCTATTGGAAATGCATTTTCAGATAAAGAAATTGATAATTTCCAAAACTATAGCCTTAACTATTCTCTCGCCAGCTAGAGTCCCACAACGATGTGGTGAAGGGGCCAGGGCAAATGCAAAAACCCAGTTGAGTTCCTTTCAGAGAAGGCAACTGAAGAGGAAACCCCACGGAGTGTGAGACCACATATATCTCATGCAGGGTATAATCTTTCCCGGATGAAAGTATGAAAGGCAGAAAGTAAAAAAGCCAATGAGCAGAAGAGTGCATGATCAACCAAGCATTTGTATACAACTTGTCAGTCGGACACGAGGTGTTGCATGGCTAGGGCAACAATTAAACCATACAGTTTGGTATGTGTTTTGTTGTATCATTAACTCACCATACATTACAGGAATGGAAATGAATGTCTCTTTCTGTCATAGAAGGAGAGCACTTTGCCTCATCCTGCTGGCCAAACCACTGGGAATTTGGCACACAAGAGGGGGTGACCTGCATTGCACTGACATGGATACCCTGCCTTATTTCTCACAACATTGTGCTGCCCACTTGGACTTTCTCTGGAGGGATTGCACAACCAGTGAGGAACTCTTCAAGTTGACCACCCCAGCATCTAGGAACTGGAAGTGGCACGAGTCTTCTGTGCTTCACTCAAAAACCAGGATGGAGGAATTCATATTGGGGAGACACCAGAAGGTTGCTGGAAATGATCAGATGGAACCTTATTTGAAAAGCTGCCATATGTGAGCCAAGGAAATGGGCAGACACTTTCTTAATGCTAGTTTTTCCATGTTTGTCCATGGAAAATAGTCTGAAAAGGACAGTGAAATATATATATATATATATATATAACGAAACCCACTCTACAACTAGTTGACAACAATAGAACGCCGAGGAGTGGATAGTAAGTTAAACTATTTTCTTACGTTACCACTGTACTTGATGTAGTAG